TGGAACAAAATTAGATGCAATTTTGAGTACACAGATCGTGTGTACTAGGCATTGCAACTCATGTACGTGGGAATGTGAAATAAACATAAAAATGACTTTAAGCTAACCGCAACATATTGTATGTGGTTTTTAAGCATTTCAGTGAATAAATAGTACACTCAATCTTTACTAAGGGATGCGTTTGTTTTCATACTCAGTCGAGTACAGTAAACTTTTTTAACCGGATTGATTTTTTTTTGGGGCATAGCACGAACATTTGGGAGAAAACATTGGTATTGAAATCGTTATTTATACGATTTAGCAACACCACTATCGGGCTGAGAGTGTTATAAAATATCATTCAAATTTTGTCGAATTCTATACGGATATCACTCAAATTTTCGTGATAGGCCCAGACTGTAGGAATGTTTTAGCGGAACAGTCACTCGAGTTTTATAATTAAATAAATATTCTAAATCCCTTTTACAACATTTTTCTACAAGGATTTGCTCACAGCGTTTAATTTTATAAATGTAATCCGTTAACGAAAGTTTAATTAAAATTTATATCTCGTGCGTTCCTGTGGGATAGTAGCTGTACTCGATTAGTATTCATCGGACATATTGTAGAAACGTGTAGTTCGTTGGTTATAACTCTTAGTTCTTTGAAAGAGGAAAGATTTGTATTCTTCTATGTATTGAAATAAGTCAAAAATTACTGGGGCGATTTTCAAAAACTTCACCATTAAAAAGCTAAGTTATCACCCAGTAACATGTATTTTTTATGATTTTTTTTTAATTTCACGTGGACGAATTTCGTGAGAATTAGCTTGGTTTTGATAAGGAAATAATTGTTAAGTTCAAAAGTAAAGTTAAATGTATATGGGTATTGGATGCATGTTACTTGTAACTTAGAAATATTTAGTAATAAATCTTTCTATATAACTAACATTATAAATGCGAATGTTTTGATGGATGTTTGTAGCCTAAATGCTAAACGTACCTCGATTAAATTTGGCATAGATTTGGATAGTCTGGAAGAACACACAGACTACTTTCCTTTGTTATTTTAATTCGAAGCAGATGGAGTGACTGGCGAAAGTTGTATGCTATAAAATGAAAAAGATTTATCAATATTGGATATATTGTTTTCGATGTAAAAACATGTAGCTCAAATAACAACGATACCGTATATCAAATTGTGTTTAAATGCTTTCATTTTGTCTGAATACCTTAAAACCATTTATATGTTGAAATATTCTGTCGGCGTTCGTAAAAATATGGAACCCACTCAACCGTTGGAACCATTTCAAACAGTTGTACGAAATAAAGGACGCATGAAATTCCAAACCATCTAGTAAATCCCTAGGTTCAAAACTTTTGTAACGCTAAAATAAGATACTAGCTTTCGACCATAACTCCGTCCGCGAGGAATTTAAAAAAAAATAAAAGTAAGTAGCCTATGTAAATTAGGCAGATGTAGAGAATTGTCTGAAATAACATATAGGCTTCCTATTATTACGCACGGACAGTTGCGGGTAAAATCTTGTATTCTATAAGGTTGTTTAGAAATAAACCTTATCTTATGGATTTAATCGTTTTTATTTACTATTTACATTATATAAAAGTATTTGACGTGAAACGATACGTAACTTGTGAAGTCCGATACTCAACCCAAAACACTATTACGAACCCCTTCAAATAGGGAAAATATTCCGCTCTCTTGAGACGGATTCAAATTGAATTTACCGGCTCCACTGAACACGACTTAAGCAACAGGATACGAAAAAGTTGAATAATGTTAAGTTTTTAATATTTGAACAGAAACAAGATAACTGAAATATAGTAAAAGATAGCCCTAACTAACTTAAGACATGCGCACACCTGCAACTAAACATAACTGTTAATCACGCTTTGCTTCATATGAGCTATAAGGAGGTGCGCATACTGCTCGATTTTTAGTTGTCGCTACGAAACAATCGACAATCGCACACAGTTGTGCGATAGTTTAGTCAAAGGTGCGCCCGCTCTAAATGTTATCGAATCTTTTTAGTATCTTATATGAGTAATGGCTAAAATCTGAAACGAATCTCATACACTTTGGTTCGTGTGGGATACTATCTACCAATTGTCAAAATTTTAATGGAATTTGAAACATGATCTTATCATTTAATGCTACATATTTGAAAATCGTTTCAATATTTGGCTGTAGCCACTGTGTGTGAAAATATTAATATTTTCTTTCATATAATACCGAATAATAAATACATGTTCCAATTTATTTTAAAAAATCAATATAGTGACTACAGCTATTTAAATTTATGAAAAAAATCTTCGATTATGATTTTCTTTTGAATTAAAACCAATGGGCGACCACTTGTTCAAGTAAATATTTATGAAATATAGTAGCTTTAGCCCGCGAATCCGTACGCGTGGAATTAAAAAAAATACAAATGTGAATAGCCTATGTGTCCTTCCAGACTATCCTCTACATCTGGGTCAAATTTCATCAAGATCCGTCCAACCGTTTAGGCTACAAACTCTAACAAATATCCATCCATCCATCCAGCTAAACTTTCGCATTTATAATATTAGTAAGATTAGTTTGTCTATGTTTATTGGTAAAAATTTGCACTATCAAAACAAATAAAAATAAAACATAGTGTGGTGTATATGTGGGTATGCCAATAACAATGTACCGTCAGTATTGCTAATAATAAATCAGTCCAGTACCAACCGCCGTTTCAATAACACACCTACATTACATTGGCGACGAGGATGGGATTTTAAATAGTGAACCCGCAAAATTGTTCGCGAGGAGGACGTCCTAAAATCGTTTTGAGCGCTGTGTTGTGCTAGCAGTGTGCGTTACGACGTTCGTAACACCAAGGGTGTGGAAGATGTGTGAAAGATGTGGTCATGGGCGACCGCAAAAAGGACGGTAGGACAGGCGGCGGTTGTGTCGATGGCGGCTGGGCGCAGTGCGGAGGCA